CCCCAATGCCATTGCTTCCTCTAGTATCATCATCTTTTACATCGAAAAATTTTCAAATTCCTTTAAAAGCCTTCCGGTAGAATTTTTCGCTACTCGGTATACGATAACGCTTATTATTAGTACTATTCATGTTCGCTCAATATCCCATACTAACGATTAAATTCACAATGATCATTTAATAGCTGTATAACGTCTGTACGTTAATGCTAAGTTACGTCTGAATTTTTGCTCCACAGTAGAATACGGATCAAGTCGACCACTTAATTATTATTCTCGATTCTAGTTCATCATTTAATTTCTAGCATAACGCAAAAGAATTATCAAGCTTTAATCTCTCTAAATAAGATTAAAAATACGAAAAGGGATATCAACCCATTAATATCATAATCATTGATGGATACAACTGGCAGTTGTTTATGCTATCAAATAGACGCTAGGAGAAGAAAGTTAGGGATATGAATCTATTTTAGTTTTCACAACTTTTTCCTACGCGATTACTTACCTAAATCACAGTAATATAAAATGCCTAGCATTGTCTCATCCTATAATCCTTTTTCTGACCACAGTAGGCAAAATATGGACCTATCTAAAGTAATAAAAATGGTGAACGGTGATAGCTTAAGATTTGGCTGTCAACATGATCGCTTAAAATAACTCATTATCGATCTATGAGTAAATTAGAACTGTTCTCCATTGCTATCTGTACAAAATAATCAGAAATAGAACAGGCGTCTATACGCCTACATTATGCTTGCCTTATTACTTTGTAAATTAGATTGACCTTTAATATTTGTGGAAAAGAGAGAAAAATATTACGACAAGAATCAATCAGTCATCGGTATAATAGGTACAATTCCTTCACATTGCTGTAAATTAAAATGCTACAAATGCCACACAGAAATCAGTTTTATTCTTCCTTCAAGAAATGAACAATATTATTCATCTCATCTATGCTTGCATTTTAAATATTAAATCATCGAGCGATCGATGATGATACTATTATTGAATAACCTGATAAATTTCGTTGATATAACTCTCTTAATCCCTTAATCTTTTTCTCATCAACCAATTGATTCCAAAAACCATCATACTGCAACTATCAAGGATGGAATTCTCTATTAAAATCGATACTCTGGCCATTAATAGACGGTGTTAGGATTTATATGTAGTAACTTATAATGTCTAACACAGTAAAGAATTGCGCATTCTAAATTTGCAAGTTATTTTATACCTACAAAGTAATCAAGGCTCATACTTACCATATTTCCAATATTAAAATTTCTTTGCACGTATTTACCATTTTAGCTATTAAAAACTGTGATTTAAAGCGCCTCCGTCATTCTTTAGATATTAAATTATTCAATACTTGGGCCACGATGATCACTATTAAAAAGGGGATATAAATTTACCTTGTTTGATTTATCCTTATTTAATATTTGTCCATCTTAGCAACTATCACAGCTAGAATGATTAGGTCATCAACGTCTAGATTGGATTTATTCATTCTTGTCATCATTCTGACGGTGCATATTAATTTTTTATTCGATATATATTTTACGCCTATTTTATTTATCCATCTCATTAACTACCATAGCTAGAATATCAGGTTACCAACGTCTAGATTAAATTTTCCGCTCTTGTCATCATTCAGACAGTGGCTACTAATTTTTTATTCGATATATAATTTTATGCCTATTTAGTTTATCCATATTAAGTTCTTATTTATCTTATTAAGTGCCATAACTATAATGATTAGATCATCAACGTATAGATTGAATTTGTCCACTCTTGCTATCACTCTGACAGTGCATATTAATTTTTTTTTCTTCCATTCATTGATCTATTTCAGTAATCAGCCTAGCTAATACATCAGCTTATTATTGATGCGTTAACTAATTTGATAGCTTGAACACATCTAATCCATTTTTTTCTTATTGATAACTGAGGTATACGTAGAGTAATAATTTCATTTTATGCCATTTTTTTACGCCATCGAATTGATTCGCACACCTCTCAAAGTCAATAATGATCCTTTTTAACATCAAGCAAACAAGCAAAAATCGGAAAATCAAGATTCTATTACAACATCAGCCATTCAATCATGAAATAATCTAAAATAAATACCTATAACTTATTAAAAGAATACGATAGCGAAGCAATCAAATTAGCTATTATTACACTACAATATCATTAGTATCCTATTTCGCTAATATTCACATCAGTAGATCAGTTCCTTCCTGTTATTCCTAATACATTTTTAAAGCACAATCAATTGTCATAATAATCTAATCAAATGGAATAGAGGAATCGGTTTTTAGGAGAAGGGAGATCAAGCTGTTATTCTTTGGGCTTCCATTGACTGCAAATTCTGATATTAACCACGTTAACTTTGTTCGATACCTTACGATGCCAAAAAGAATAATTTATTTTATTTATTTGTTCGCTAATGCTGACCATAATGAATTACCGGTATGTAAAGAGCGAAATTAAAGCTCTATAACTTGAACTAAACAATCAATATATGAATATATGCGATATGGATAGTAAGAAAGGGTAAACAGGGTTATATTTTATTTAGAAGACATCTTTTAGCATAGTGGTGAAAGCCTGCACTAGAATAAACTTCAATATTGCGAGATCGAAGCTGTATAAAATCAAAAACTTCTTGTGTGGGTATACTAGTAATAGCGTAAATTTATCATCGAAAGTTCAATTTAGTTAATATACTACATTCATTAAGATACTGTCGATAATGTTACTTTCAAAATAAATTCCTTTCTGTTGTTTACAGAACTTTAACTTGTCCAATCCGATTTGAAAAATTAAATAATATAAGAGTCGTAAAAATTATATGCCTTCACAAAATATCCGCCTGTTAAAGGATAGCATTGAGCAGATGATAATTTTACACCATTGAACTTATACTAGTAAATAGAGTAAAGTAGCAAACGTAACAGATGATAATCCCAACCAATAAATGCTTTTCATCCTTTTGCTATCATGAATGACTAATCATCCTCCAATTCTTCTCCAAAACAAACTAATAAATAATATACTAGAAATATGATTGAGTTTTAACATTTTTTATTAAAGTTTTTAACTATCGAGCTATATATTAAGGAAGATTTACGCAATGATATGAGATTTAATCAGCACTTATTTAAATACTCTATCCCTGTCTTACTATCTGCCGAGTCTTATGAGACACTTAAATTTGCTTCCATTAACCTCTGTGATGGATAACCAGTAATCAACATCGAAGCGTAAATCTATAAAAAGCTACGGCAGTACTTGATTTAAATTAATCGTAGTTGGAATGAAATTTGGTTAAAATAGGAACTAAAGTATAATAGTGACCAATCATCACAGTTTAGCAAGAAAGCCTATATTACTTAGATGAATTTCTAAATTAATATACTACCTATAATATGAAATAAATTGGGCTGAAATAAGGTCTTAAAGTGTAATATTAAAATAATATATACTCTTAGTTCAACATTATATCTTTTACTTAACTATATATGGATTCCTTTATCAACGATAATCTTCAATTTTCCAATTTATAATATAAGATCAAGTTACATTTGGGGCTAATATTTATATAAACCGATTAAAAAACGGGACCTTACCAATTATCATGATACAGTAAGATATTACCATTAATCTAACTACATAGAATTAATAACAGTCAATTTTTGCTGAATTCATCTTCTATGTACTCTAATTTCAAGTAAATTAGTTTCAATAAACACCCTATCAGACTTTAATACAAATACTTGGAAGACAATTAATCTTTATTTATGTACGATGTCAGCCTGGATGATTTTGGTAATACAACCTTGCTGCCATGATTGATCTGACAATAGTAATCAGGATTGGATCTTAGCCAGTCAGTGACATTATTTACTCTTTAGCTATTAAATTATACTCTATCAATTCTTATTACATGAGATGGAGACAGCGACAGTTGGATAACTGGCATTGAAAATTAATATCAATTATCATTATCATTAATTACTTTGATTGCAATTGAAATACCAGTCATTTATTTTTGAGGTAATTACTCATCTATTTTAAATGACAATATTACGGTGATCGACTACGCTGTAACTTAAGCCTCTAGTGGTTATTCCCTATTCCAGAGTATAAGTTGAATAACGCACTAAGTTAGAATATTCTAGATTTTCGATAGTAATTGCATATGAATTAGCAGTCAACCTATTTATGGCAGCCGTTGTCTTTGTTGGAGTTGGCTATTTCGAAATGGGAAATAGGCCACACTCTCCAAGTTCATCTTGATCCTCATCCTATAATATAATCAGAAAAATGAAAACATCTCCTCCCTCTCTGATAAAACAGAGATCAATCTAAATCCTTATTCGATTATTTATCAAGAAAGTAATGCCAGATATCTCACTTCTTCATTCCTAGACGAAATACTACATTTGCACGATAAGAATCTGGTAGAAAAACTTAATAAATCATAAAATCAAATAGCTGTGCCGAGTAGTTATCACAACTATGGCGTCATATCATACAATTCTTAATTAATGCAAAAGAGAATTGAATTGATTATTGGCATGGATACCTATAATTACTCATAAATTATATCAATAGCGTCTGGTTATATTGCTTTGCATACTAGCTGTATAAAACTGCCTTGTCTATCCTGTACATAAATACAAATAATAACATAAAGAATAGGAAATATTCTTCATGTCTAGCTTGTGAAAGAAAATATACTAGACCTTATTATGATGATAAATGATACCATTAATCTAGCAGACTTCTGATATAGAGATAGACAGCAAAAGAGAGAGATAACGGTAATTTTTAAACATAAATAGATGGACTACGCAGTCTAATCTATTATTTTATTTATTTAGAGCTATATCATTGGTCTAAAATAACAGAAAAAGACTCGTCAACATCAACGTATCCGTCACCAACTTTTTCTTGGCCAAGATTATTGAATCTGCCTATTTATGATGGCTAATAAAATGGCGATTAGACCATTTTCTTACGTCTGTTATGCCATCATCATGATTATCATCAGTTGCCATTCTTCACTAGCAGGTAGGCTTAAAATCTGTATTTTTGTAAAAATACAGATCTAATTTTTTTAAGGAATTGGATTTTACATGAATCATTTCATAATTATTTATTATTAATATTAATATTATTTTGAAGATTTTAAAGTGAGAACTTTTCCTTCTTTCCTTGCGCTGTCTCGTATCTATTAAGATTAATTGATAGCTACCAAACATATTTAACTTTTAAAATACATATTCTAACAGTATTCCTAGGAATCATTTCATATTTAGTATTAAAAGAAAAAGATTATCTATACGTCTCTAAATAGAGAAGTTTCTAATAGTTAGGATGATGAACAGGATTTCTGGTAGTCCTATCGCTGCGTCTCCCATTCCTTTTCATTCTCACTAAGATAGAATATAATTGCCCTATAATCTAAATATTGGATCAAATTGACCAATGAACCTTTACGCTAGACTTGAGTACTAATCTATTGTGATTGCCTTCTTTTTAGCTCTACCATTAGAATTTGTCGAAGAGCCGTTAGCTGAAGTTTTAACTATCTCTGGCAGCTCGGTGATACTTAATTGCCAAGCTAATGATCCACAAAGCAATGTACAGTGGTACAGAAATGATCAACTATGGACCAATAGTCAAGCAGTTTTAAATAATCATTCATTATGGATACAACAAGTTAATCAATCTACCATTGGCAAATACCAATGCCACGCTAGTAGCAACAATTATACCATAGTTAGCCGCTATGCTGCTATCAAGTGGGCAAGTAAGTTGGCATAATTGCATCATATATTATAAATCTAAAAATATTGAATAAATATCCCATTATAAATTTGACCCATTTTCAACTAATTTAGAATGATAATTAGTAGAATTTTCGTTCGTTATTTCATTATCTGCAGTAAAATCGCCAATCTCATAGAAGTACATTAAAAACTTCTAATAGTATCGAACTGAATCATCACTGGAAAGATATTTGATTATAAATATTAGACTAAGCAATATTGATATTTCTATCATTCATAATTGAACAGCATTCTCAAATCCATCCTTATTATGTACATTCCTAATTGACTATCATTTATTCTACTGTCCCTAATTTATATTAATAAGATATTCCTATCTATTTCCATGGCTTATACTAGCTTAATATTAAAAATTGTATATTGGTGGATTAATGAATCCATATCGATCTATTTTTTAACTCTAGCTATCGGAGAATTTGCTATCAATATGACGAGCGAAATCATGGCATTTGTTGGCCACCCATTAACTATACCTTGTTTTCCACCTAGCAGTAATCCACCAGCTATAATATCATTTCGAAATAAAGGTGTTGAGGTCGTCCAATCTAGTCGAGTTCAAGTTCTCTCATCAGGTTCATTATTCATTGCCAATGTCACCCGACAAGATCGTGGCAAGTATAAATGTTTCGCAAAAAATCCTCTACTACCAAATCAAGAGAAAAATAGCGGACCACTCCGCACTCTGGTGACTGTTCAAAGTAAGAATTGTCTATTCTCCTTCCTTCCTTTCTTTTTAATTCCGCTGATTTTATTCAAATCAATTTCCATTTTTTCGATTTTAGATACAAATAAATTACATAATACAATCTCTTTTACTACTTTACCTCGTGATGTTACTGCTCGAGTCAACACGGATGTTGTTCTTGATTGCGTCCCACAAGCTGATCCAGAAGCAGCTGTCCATTGGCAAAAAATTGATGGAGTAATGCCACAGGGACGCTATTTCATTCAAAATGATAATCTTGTCATTCAGCGTGTACAATTATCGGACAGTGGTCATTATCGATGTACAATAACAAACAGAGCAGGATCAACATCAGCAACTGCGCTACTTTCTATTGAAGGTACAGAGATTATACTCGTACATGCATAGATTGAATCTATTTAGCATTGCCTATTCCTAGTTTATTTCTTAGCTTATTACAACAGCACATTACTATGCTCTGAATACGAGGGAATAGTCGCTAATCGAATTTTAAATATAATATCACGTAAATTAGGACTTCTTTAAATAGATCAAGACTAAATGATCAGTTACTAAATTTAAAGATTATAATTTTAGAAATTAAATTATATATCTCATCCTGTATCTAATAGAATCCAACAGTAATATTTGAGCGAAAGGAAATAATATGGCATAATATAAGTTTATTTTAATCTAATAAATACAAATAGATATTACTGTAGGTCACCTAGCGACGCTATAAGAAGCTTGAAATAAATTTAAGTATTAGAGGAAATAAAATCGCTTTATTTCCCGTTTACAATATCAGCATACCAGTATGCAAATAATGTTAGACGATAGAAGAAACTGTAGATGTACTTTTAGCTTGGAATAAACTTAAATTTATTGGCAATTTTACTTCAATAGCTCCACCTGAAGCCTACTTACCTCCAGAAACCAAAACTTATGTAGGTGCTGATATCGATTTAAATTGTTCCGTAACTGGATCAGCCGTTACTGCTGTGCAATGGTTCCAAAATGGTGTTAAACTAATTCGTACAGACTTTAATTCTCGCATTCGTAGCAACTACAATCATCTCTATATACGTAACGTTAATAAAGGAGATGAAACTATATATCAATGTGTTGCTTTCAACCAATTTGGCAGTTCTCAAGTTATAACTTATTTGAAAATTTCGCCAGGTAAAGCTAAATTTCTATTTTCTTTTCAATGTCTATTACACGAGCGATTGATATTCTGAACTGATCAATAACACATTGTGATATCGTTAAATTGAATTAGGGCGTCCAGTGCTACCATCTTCATCTACTCCTGCAACATTAACAACAAATCCCTCTACAAGCCAATCAGCTAGCAATCAATTGACCATATGGCCTTGGATTAATACTGGTATGAACAAAGAAATTAACGCTTTATAAATTCTAATTACTATCACTGAAGCTATGGATAAATTAATGAACTAACTCTCATTATTATCTCGTCTTGATTGACTGTCTAGTACCCATAATTACATTTATAAGGCAAGAAAGCAAGACTAATGCAACAATGTTATGGAAGTTTCCATCCAGCGATAGACGCTATGTCAAATCATTTACTATTAGGTATAATATGACTTCCTCATTTAGTCGATCATTAAGGCAGAATATGATCAAGGATATATCGCCCGATTTAAGTCAATTCACTATCCAACATTTAAAAGGAGGTCAAAGATATGTGTAAGTAGTCTATCTTGTATACTTGGAAGATCGTACATAACATAATTGAATAACAAAGAAATTGAATAATGCAAAATGTATCAGTATTAAGTTTATTTTAAATATATTAAACATATAACTATGTATTTCAATAGACTTACTAATGTTTGTATATCCAATAATTGATATAACATCCTCTTTAATTACAGGTTTGGCATAAGAGCTAACTTTAAAAATGATAGAACGAGTGATTATAGTAAAAGCGCAGAAATTCAATTGATAGAACGAATTATGCCTCCAGTAGTGGTTCCATATATTAGTCATACATCCTGGATTCAATCCAAGGCCATCGATATCTATTGGACAGTGAGTTATTACATAAGTAATTTTAATAGTCTAAACTGTTAAAGATTAAGCTGGACATTGGAATTACATAACACATCTACTACGTGTAAAGCTAATTTCCATTTTTTCCCTCCGTTAATCAACAGCTAAGACCACAAACGATTACCCAAGAAGTAATTACTCATTATAGACTATGCTATATGGTAATCGATGACAAGAGTTATGCAATGCGTAACATGAAGTACATCAAATTTGACAATGTTGGCCTTTATGAATATCGGCTTTATGGATTATCGCCAAATCATACGTATATTACAGCTTTGCAAGCAATTAACGGCCAAGGAAGAGGAAAATTTAGCTTATTCTACGTTATTAAATTAAATTCAGGTGAATTTAATTCATAATTAATATTCGTGTGTGTAAGTTAGAGTCCGATTTACACCGATCTAATTCAGAGCATTACCTAGATTAAATTTTTAATCTAGTTAAATACCCGTAGCTAGTAGTTTTCAACCAAGGATAGCATAAACGTGTTCTAATGCATTGTTAAAATGAAACCAGATTATTTTTAACCTAGTTAAATAGTTACAGTAGTAGTTTTTAACCAAAGATAGAATAAATATGTACTAATATATTATTAAAACCTGACTAGATTATTGTAATTCTATCAATGTCTTGTTATATATAATATAATCTAACCTATTGTTGATATATAACATATATAGATTATAACAACTATTTGCATCTTTTTTCAAATTACTTATAGTTACACAGCCTACAGTTAGTACCAAGAATCCTCTAATCTACAGCGAAACTAATCCAGCAACACAAACTATCATAGATGATGATACCTTAACAAAAGATGATTTAGTTATTTTTACCGTTGTCATTGCAGCATGCGGTATAGTTACAATCGCTGCCATCGTATTAATTGTGCATGTTATCAAGAAAAGACATAGAATACCCCAATCTAGAAAAGGTAAAACATTAGGAAGTGTATAGTAACAAAAAGAATAATGTCTTATTTTCCATTTATAAACTCTAGTAGTTTACTGGATATAAGCATTTATCTTATATATACAACTTTTACTTGTATTATTATCATCATGCTAGAATCGTTGATTATCAGAAATTGCATGATTCTAAAGACGAGAAAATGATAGAATATTGAAATAATCATCAAAAATTTATAATTTAGATGATAATATACTTATATATTTGATAGGAGCAAGTATATTTCAACACGAATCCGAACGCGGTGAAGAAATCCAAATTGTTAGGTTAGTACGAGTATGTTACCACTAAATAAATTAAATTAATTACACCATTAGCGTGGAATAAAGGAGATTTAACCTCCAAAATACTACGTATAACGCAAGAAACGGTATCAATATAGGATAGTTATACCTACAATATGATTTATTCTCATATTATTACTTATACTTAGGACAAATGCAGTAGTTCAATATCAAACTGATGGAGCCGTTGAAACATCAATCATTAGAAATACTCTGATTGAATCAAATCATGGCAGTTCCAGCAATATCGATAAAACGGTCGATGCAGATTCCCTTAATGAACAATCACCTGCCCCAGCCTTAGAAAGGTAAGCGAAATGAAAAATAAAACTCTACTTAATCAGTAATATGATATCGCTTCCGTATTGAAGAAATATCAATACTTTTTTTTAATTCACGCTGTTAATTGAATTGATTGCATACACAACTTGTAACATAATTCCGACAATTTCATCTAGTGAACTATGCAAGCAACAAAAATTTGAAGCCCATCCTAGAATGAATAGTGAGAGTGAAGGAAAAGCTGCTCATGTAGCTGAATGGATGACAAATCAGCCTCAACAATCATTCGATCACTCCGATTCTTTTAAGAATATTACGAGAGAATATGGTTATACCCGAACTGATCGTCGACGATCATCGAAACGACGTTCAAGACGAAGACGCCATCGTAATTATGGCCAAACAGATAATCGCTATAGTCGACGAACTGATCCTAATTCACATTCAGAATATTATTCATACCAATCCAATCGTTCTAAAAAGTATCGCAAGCGAACCGATGGTAGTTCATCCAGTTGTAATGATAAAATACCTCGATCTTATTTACCTAAAACAAATCGTCATTATGATGATCAATCAGAATTCGAGGAACCACATATAACAAATAACCGATTAGTAGATAACCGTGGACTTCCATCGCCTACGGACACAATTCATTATGAAGACCGATGCATTCATCCTGTTTATATACCAGAGCGCCAAGCAATCTATGATGATCGACAATTTGAAAGTAGCGATCATGGAAGAATGCATCTTCACCTTGGTAATTTTCATCCCACCATTAATAGTAATCCACTTATTCATCGAAAATATTGTGATGGTTGCAATAGCAGTCATGCTGGTGGTGCTAGCAGCAGTAATGCTAATCATAGTTATTGTCACCCACGGTATCCATCTTATATCGCTGATGCAACATGTCCCATGTACGAAGGCGATAATCATCCTCAATATGCACATATCTATTCTAATTCACCTCAAGTCGTTCGCGTTACTATACCTTCACCTAAGGATAGCTATCATCCTCATCATCATCATCATCATCATCAACAACATCATCCACAACCATTACAGCAGCAACGTATTATCGAATCAGCGGATCCTTACTATATGCAAACTGCTAATAATGATTGCAGCCCGATTGAGCCAACTACAACGCCAGCTGGAGGTCATGGCCAATTAGCATTAGCTTATTCCAATGAACTACCTCTAACTTCACCAGATCATGATACTAACACTTTAAGCCCAAATAATAGGCAATATAGTTTAATGAATACTGGGGAGCCTGATACCGATCTTCCGTTACAAGAATGCGAAAGAAATTATATTAGCGATTATGATGAAAAGAATGAACGTAACGAGGAGAGGCAAACAGACAGTATTGATATTGATAATACGTCCCGCCGAAGTAGGTTATCACCGCCTGAGGCAGATGATTATAAACGTATAGAAACTAGAACATGATCAGGAATGCTTGTAAATAATCTAATCAATTTTGAATATTAATTTCGTTGAAAATTTAAATTGAATGAAATTCCCTACCGATAGTTTTAAATTTTGAAAGTTATATTATAAAAAATTTGTCGATCCATGAAGTAATAGACGGTCGATTTTTTATTTCTACGTTGCTATACTCAGTAATAAATTAAAATTGATACATGTAGTATCTTAATATTAATATAACTATTCATAGACAATTTATCTACAATGTAATCATAAACCGAAATATTTTAAATTAAATGACTTTATAACACCCTGTATAACAGCTAGTTGAAGCGTTCTATATTGAATAATGCCAACAATGAATAAGTTTAGATTTCGAAATAGTTACAATTCTTGCTCTCCATTAATTCAATAACGTTGACGCTATTTTAAGTCGCAATATTGATTTTTATTTATATTCGTTGATCGATACGCATATGTAAAAATTAAATTCATATTATACTTCATTATTGCCTATTAAATGAAGTTTTATTTGTAGGTAAAATGAGAACTAATTTGTATATCCTTGCTAGAAAAAGTGCTTTGTCTACACTGTCATCATTTTGAGAGCTGACTACATTTAAAAATATTAGTAAGAAATCGTTTACTTGAGATTTAAACACGTATACGGATACATGTATATGTCTGTGTAAATTTTCTCTCTGTACATATCATATTCATATACTGTATATTAAACTCAAAATAATCTCGTCCTAGACACGAAATAAAAATATTTTGTTTAACACATTAGAAATAGGATGATTAACTTGTCGTATAAAAACGGTTATCAGAAAATTGAAGTCTAAAGAAAGATGACATCAACTATAATTTTCGAATTTCTGTATTACAGTAATTTATCCTTGCTGATAATGAGTTTAAATTGTTATTCTAATATCATTCTTTTCGTAGTATCTGTATAATTTCAAGTACAACTTACGGTACTTAGCTGATAAATTATTGAAAAATTGAAAAATAAAGCTATACTACCTAACGAAATCGTTGTCATTTGTTATGTTCATCTCATAGAATAAATAATTAAAAATTTCAAAGTTGCTTGTATTTAAAACGATCTATATGCATTTGGTCTATCACATATCAACGTCCCTTTTTAAGATTCTAGTGAGGTACGAAAGTTACTTAATGTACATTGATAGAATTGACCGCGGCAATGATAGTAAATGCATTTTAGAACTTCCCTATATCGTAATTTGAATTTACTAGATAGAAATGGTATATGCCGTATTATCGTAGCTGCGAAATTGGTATCAGTACTCAAAAATCTATCTGCAATTAAAGTTCTATTCTATTTGTATGCAAGTCAATTCCGATACTTTATTATTGTAATAGAATAAAACGATCCTTATCTTCATCAAGCTAATTCTTAAAGTAATTTCATTTCCAAAATATTATTGGTAAAATACGATTCAGACTCTTTCGGAACCCTGCCAGGAAATTAAATAGAGCAAGTTATTCGCTCATACCCTGTAATTATTAAACTGCAGTAGTACACAGACGATCAAATAATCACAGCATGATCTAATTTTCTATCTGTGATATATATTAGATTAAATGAATATTCATGCCCAATCAGTTACCACAATATGACACTACAAATATTTTTACTGATCTGTACACTACGGACGGTACATCTTAAGCTGTTTTATTCGTGATCAAATGAGCAAAGTAACGAATTTAATACTACCCAGAGATTAGGGTTTGTTACCAAAGATTAAATTGTAAACAATTTGTAAGCATTTAGTCTTCGATTCTAACAATTTCATCATGATTTATTAAAATGATAGTATTTGATTAATTAGTAACAGATGAGTATTTTTGAAGCCACTTCTACGCCCCTGTTCCTTCTAACCCTCACGATAATTATTTCGTCATTTATATTCAACTTTAACTGAGACTTGTAAATAACTAGTTAAGAGCTGTACCCATGCTTGATTAATTATTACGAGCTTTGCATATTTTTAAAATAAAATCTGTATAGTCTAATTTACCATGCATAACTATGTTAACGATACATCGAATGCTACAAGAACAACAAATAAGGATACAAAATTTTCCTTCACTGAATAATGCATTAGTTTTAAATTGCTAAAAAATAAATTTTAACAGAGTCATCAACCAATTTAATATGCAGATCAACACCAGAATAGGTCATATAGTTCAATTACACTACAGTAGCGAGGTCATAGCTACTCAATCAGTCTACGTTATAAATGGTTATACATTAGTAAAAATAACAAACATAACAAAAAAAATCAATAACAGACATGACCGAACAAGGTTTAGTTAATAAATCTAGTAATCTAATACTTTAACAACTGCAACTTTGGCAGAAATTTATTTATCAGATCCAAGAATAACAACACACGACACGAATAGCTTGATACACAATCAACCAAGAATTTATATTTTAGATGATATCATAGCAATATACATGATAGATTAAAGAAACGCATATAAAAAGCCCTTCAATGCAAAATCATTACCAAAATGTTTACCTGTGGTAGTACGTATGACAAGAACAGCTTATAAAAAATTCATACCAATGAAAAAGCATTGCCAAGCATAATAGACTTAAAAACAAATACCAATCTTATAATTAGAATGAATGATAAATTTTCATAAATATATTACAACAGTAGATAGGATAACGTCTCAGATAAAGTATTAAATATCTTTGGCAATTGGTGCAATCATAGGAGCGTGTCTTGCATTATGTGGTGTGCGTGATCCGGCATTTCTAGATGACAGGCTCTCTCGAGAACGGGCTAAATTTTCATTCGACCTAGCTAAGCTATAATTGGGGGCACTGCGTTTATGTGAAGAACCTAAACTTTCATTACTTGCATACCGACCAGCGACATTTTCCGAACTACGATGATAATTTACATCTTTTGGTGGCGGAGGATATTCGAAATCATCATCATCCTCTAACGGGCTTTTAGTTAGATTACCTCTAGAACCTGTTAGGTGGTGAATATTTTCTCGGCTTTGAGACTTTTTCGAGCGCGATAAGCTCTCAGAGCTGTCATGAAAATCATGACGTTGATTTAACCTAGTGTTAGACGATGAAGATGATTTATTATACGGCGATGACTGATTATAAACACTGGCATCGGCTTGAGAATTCGATAACATTTCTCGAGAGCGTGCTAAGCGTTTACCAAGATCGTATGGTTGATTATCACCTTCAACATATGGTGCTCTTGATTTGGGTCGTGACAAGCGATCATCATGACGTCTATTACTGGTTATAGCAATGTCTGAAGAGTAATCATCAGTATTGACCGTTGATTGATCATCATCTAAGTAATAGTAAGGCTTTTTTGCACTATACTGCGATGAAGGCCTGGTAGGACTTGGTAACGATTCCGCATCGCTATTCGCTTCCACATTTTTAGACCGTCGTTGCTCGTTCTTTTTCGATCTACGATTATAACTTGTCTCAGACATACCGCTGTCAGAAGGTGCATCACTTCTAGAGCGCCGCTTCTGATAAGCAGGATCATGACGGCGTAGTTTATCTTGTAAAATTTGGTCACGTTCTTTAGCATTCTTTTGATCAGCAGATATCCTATCTTGAACGTTGTATCCATAATTATTTGTCGTTTCCATAGCACCGACCGATTCTGCTCTAGTAGGACGGGATGATTTCTTACTAGCAGCTTCATTAGAGCGACCTGTTGTATAGTATGGGCGGTATGCATCAACATCATCTTTCTCGTCTGCTTGCAAAGAATACCGCTTATCTTTTGCTTCCTATATAAAATGATAATGCGAAAAAAATTAATTCTTTTATACAACTAAGATTCATTTTTACTTCCATACGAATGTTTAAGTGGCATTGATCTCGTACAAGATAATCAATCCTGCAGTACACTAAAATGACTAAGATATTAAATATCTTACCCTGCTCCGACCAGTAGTGGAGCCTTTCTTATAATCTGGGGTATAATACAGCATCTCTGCAGGAGTACGGCCGTAACCATCTGCATAATCTATGTTTTCCTCATCCACAGACGTAGCCTCTACTCGTATTTGCAATACATAGCAGTGATTTAATTGAAATAATATCATCAATCAGTAAATAATTAGTGATGACATACCTGATTGTCTACTGGTCTGGCTCTGCCTGCGTTTGCGCGAACTTCGGTCTGATCGAACACTGTAACGATCTGCATTGTCACTAGCTGCATCATCAAAGTAATTTCGACTAGCCATTTTGTAATCAAATTCCGAGCCTGAAGCGCTTGGAGCTCTCTTCATGTCACTGCGCATACTAACATTGCTTACTGAAGCAACAGATTCAGCATGAGATACACCCTCCGGTGGAGACGGTAATGTCTCTAAACCTTTTGGAGTCGTATAAGCATGGTCTTCGAAACTGTAAAGAAATTAAAGTATATGAGAATTGCTAATATCTTTTTACAATAAGTCACGATCGATATAAAATGGCTACTAAAGTCATGAAAAATATATACTTCTGTGGGCGTCTTGTAATAGTTGCTGTTGGCGATGTAAGGTAAGGCTCTTTGGAGGAAATCTCATCTGAACATATTGAATGATAAAATTAACTGTAAAAACTAATCTATGAAACAAGGGTTACGAAATGGAATACTGTACCATCACGTACCTCTACGAGTTTCTTTATGGGTGCGATCATATACAATTAAGGAAGCTACTAGTATCAACAAGATGATAACACCAACACCAGCACAAATTGCAATTAATACAGTTTTATTGAAAGGTCCATATGTTATTCTCTCGGGAGGTACGGGCCCTATAATAACGAGCAGGGCCAATAAATAACTAGCTTAGTGCATTGAAAACTAAAATATCGTTCGTAATGAAAAAACAACCGTGGTAACTATAGTTATACAATCAATACTATAGCTTATTTAGGCCTACCTGGAGGGTCCGACACGACAGTAAGGCTAGTCAAAACTTCTTCGCTGTAGTAATATGACAGCACTCTAATATTGTACGTCGATTTTTGATTCAACAACTGATCACTAATACGAATGCTATTAGATGTCGGATTAATTCCTGATTGAGCAATCGTCCATTCAGCACGCTTTCTAGTACCAAATACTTGGTATTGTACCGTTAAACTAGTTGTTTCCAATTGAGAGGGTATTGTCCAACTAACGTTAGTACCAAGGATATCAGATCGCCAAACGATCACTTCAAACGCTACAAAAAATATGCAAGTTGCATATTACATAACGAACCATGCAATATTCTATAAACATTCTAGTAGATATATTAAACTACAGTATGTTCAATACGATAAATAAGCCAAAACCAACCGCTACGATCGACAGGAACATTCTTTACGGTAAGCACTCCATCTGTTGCAGTCTCACCCTCAATATTTCTAGCTACACACTGATAGGTACCGGTATCATTTCGTTTAAGATTTCTAAATATTAGCGAATAATTGGAACTAATAGTTGCTCTTCTACTGAATTCACCATTGACCCTTCTCCATGTCACTGTTGCACGCGGGATAGCGTCAACTGTGCAATTGAATAAAGTACTCTGTGTATTATATACTGTCAAAGTGCTTGGCTTAACATATACAATTGGTTTATCTGTGGATTAAGATACAAAGAAATATCCAAATTATAAGGTCATCATGTGCATACATAAGGCTGAGAAATTGCATAAAACAAATTTAAGAGTAACCATTAGCTGTAATCTACAATAGACTGGCAATATTTACATGGTACAATGACTTCAAAAGTTGTAGTGGAACCTCCACGAATACCATTCTCCGGTCTACAGACGTAGTTTCCAGAATGAGTTCTGTCTAATCCTCGAATACTAAGTCGATTACCATACACGAATATAACACTATCGTTTCTAACAATTTCCTGACCGGTCGGACCAAACCATCTGTATGAAGTTATTGATGGATTAGATGTCGCATTACATATTAAAACAGCGTTCTGTTGTTCCTTAACGTAAACTTTTAAGTCAGGAACCGAAACATATGGAGGATCTAAGAAAAATATATTAATAGCAGCATAAATATTATTGTTGTAATGAAATGGTGAGCAATTATATTCACATATAACCTGCACTCAAATTGGTGCAATAGTAGCCTATACTTACAGTAAACAGTCAAATTGAAATGTAATTCTATATTTTCGTTAACATTTAAGGCTCTGCAGGTGAATCGAGCACCATTATCGCTTCTATTTGCGACTAATACCATCGTTGTCACAGATTCAGCAAACTGAAGAATTTCGCCATTTTTCAACCAATACGCATTTGGTTTCGGAGAACCTGACGCTGCGCAAGTATACGTTCTACTCTCACCCTCTTGTAATACAACAGTCTGAGTTGGTATACTCGAGATAATTCGAACAAGTTCTAAACGAAGCAACATGATCACACACGACTTAGTTACAACTCTTGCATTAACATAATTCACTATTACAGCTGTACAACATGAACTAAAGCCTAATCTAAGGATATTTTTATGTTCTGGTAAGATACGTACCATAAACAGTAAAGGAAATAGTCAATGATGCTTCACCGAGCATGTTATTTGCAATACACCGATAGTTGCCACTGTCATCTTTTTTTACTGATGTAAAAACAAGCGAACCATTGCCAACATCGGCCGGTCCATTATACGGTTGACCATTTTTCTGCCAGATGTATTTAGGTGCTGGCAATGCTTCTGCTACACAACGCATTGTCGAAACGCTACCGATCGCTGCTTTATTAACATTCGTAGAATCAATCTTTACACTTTGTGGGGCATCTGTACGATAGTGAAATAATCGATAGTAAATACCATTTTCAATGTCAGTATGTGAATTAATTAATCGCATTATTTAAAATTAACGCCCACCGTATATCAATAAATCCTAAATCAAACTTTTATTGTAAATAGACAGAAATGAATCATTTTTTATCAATGCTTTATCTTACATTGTACTACAATTGTAAGATTTCTCCAGCGACGCTGACTTTGGTAAGCAATATTACATCCATAACTGCCAGTACTACTCCTCTGAAGGGTTAGAGAGTAAATGTTACGATTGCGTAACCTGCTTACAATATTGCCATTTGAGTACCAGGTCACCCAAGAATTTGGATTAGAATCAGCTGCGCATGGAAGCGCTACAATGTCAGATTCATTTCTTACGAGATATGATGACGAAGCAAATGCTGTATACGGATTGAAATCTAAACAAATTAAATTAAAATTTAGTACGAGCCGGGACTAACGAGAAAATTGATTTTATTTCAATACATAACGACCGTAGTTAAAAATGTTTTTACATGCATATGTATTGAAAAATTATTTATAAGTTATAAATAATTCTCAAGTAGAAGTATTGCTTACAGTGGACATCCAATTCATAATTTACAATGGCGGTTTGTGCACCATTTGTAGCTCGACAGGTAAAGAATCTATTACCGTTTTGATGATAATCATCACTACGGTTAACATTCAATATATAATACGATCCATTGGACAATTTCTGATAGCGGCTAACAGGTGTGCCAACTGTCCAAGTACGATTAATAGGCGGATATCCCTGTCCAAGGCAGCCAAGTACAACATTCTCACCTGAGTTGGCAACGATAATAATAGTACCTCTATCTTGCATTTGAAAATCTGCAAACATAAATAAACTCATAAATTTATTACAAAAGCATAGATTGAATCCATATCAAAAACAGCGCAAATTTGAGATTTTTTTCTTACAGCGAACTCTGACGATGACATCTCGTCGAGCGACCATCCCAATTGAGTTATTAACATAGCAGGTATAAGTACCTGCGTCAGAAACTTTAGCACTAAATATAGTTAGGGTTTTCGATGAGCTGATAACGTTACCATTCCTTAGCCATCTAAATGTTGTGGGTGTAGGTCTACCAGATGCCTTACAATCAAGCGATAACGTACCACCAGAGTCTGTTGAGGTCTCGCTAGGCAAATCGATTGTTAATGGAACTGCAATGTAAATAGAAGATAAAATTGTTAATTAATCAGTTAATGGAATGAAAATTCTTGATGAATGAAGAGTAATAAATAACCTGTAACTGTTACTGCGTAGATTGCTGCTAAAGGAGAGTTTTGAGAGTTTGAAGGAGCACACCAAAACATTGCTTCATCAGATATTTCGATATCCGTAATAATCAATGTAAATGAACTAGTTACGCTGTAACGGACATTTGAAGGAAATTGAGTAGAAACTGCGTTGTTGGTGTCTCTGGTCGCAAGCGTTACATTGGCTCCATTCTTATTTGAAATCCAACCAACTGCATTTGAGCTGGCAGCTGGGCAAGCTATCTCAAGACGTTGGCCAACATTAATGTTCCTTCGACTAAACGTCCCTTGTGCGATTACTAAAGTCATCAAGTATTATAATTTTGATTACAATATTGAAATAGACAAAGACATTACAGCAAGCTCAACAACTGTTGAAAACAATTCGCTATAAGTGCACAACTAGATCACTAGCCATAACAATTATTCATCGTTAACTGCACTAATGTTTATTCTTTACTTCCATGATAGAAGTTTTATCCAACCAGAACTATGGTATATTATTTTCGAATAATTTTACTAGTAGTAAGTAATCAGCATATATTTTAATATTTTATGGCTTTTGCTTACGAATAACTACTGTACTTCTGCTATTAAAAAATTCCTTCTGTGTATTATATAACTCGAATATTCGTGTTCCGGGACAAAATTAATTTTTAAAAATTTAAGCTAATTGTGCGTAAATTCTATAGGTATAAATGGAAGAGCAGCAGTATTGTTTGTTAGAATCTGATTTTATAAAAAGAGCGATTGTATTAACTCATTCTCTACTACAAAATCTAAAACTGTAAATCATAGTGCAATGACATCTACTTATATTATAATTTTACAGTTAATAACTTGTAAATACGTTATAAATCGATAGTACAGTCATCTATCCTCCGCTAAAAAAAGCATAAACTGATTCATACTATTACCAAAGATATTGTGAGTCTATTCAAAAAAAGGATGTCAATGTAAGCTGTATGATAATTGGCCTTGGCTTTTCTACTGTTAAGCTATCGTCAGAATTATCAATAGAAATATGTCATTTAATCTGTAGCTATAAACTGATAGCATTTGTATATCCAATATAGCCATGAGGAGACAAATCGTCAGAATCATCAATAGAAATATGTCATTCAATCTATAGCTATAAACTGATAGCGTTTGTATATCCAATATAGCCATGAGGAGACAAATACTCTTTCTAATTCCTGTAAAGAAATTATCTTGACAGTAAAGTTAGTGAAATCATTACGATATGACTTACCATGTACGAAGAAGTGCAGGAGAATGATGGACAATATTATTTGCTTCATTGCAATCTGTGAAATGAAAAAAGCCAACCATTAGCTATTTAACACATAATAATATTCCACTGTAAAGAGATGCAACATAATTGCCTAATTACTCGGTTAAAAGTAGAATAGCATATAAACGATATATCATATAGCTACAGCCTATAATCGGTTAGAGAGATTCACGCTAGATAAATAATATCAATGTAATGCAAGTACTACAAAGGTTACAAATGTACTCATCCATTAAGGCAAATCGCTACTTCGAAGATAATTATATTTTGGTAGTAACCTATTTCAACATTTCAATTAATTCATTTTATTGCAATGTGTGTAGTGTTGCTTATTTTAAAAACTAGCTCGACAGTATTTATAAAATTCAATCTTTAGAACATATGTTATAGATGAGTGGTACCTCATTTGGAATTCAATATTAAAATGATAGCGAATCCCGACCGTTATATATTTACATTGTACGTATAAACTATAACAATTCTTCCTTGTGGTTAATAGATGAAAAATTTTATGGTACAGTAATTGAAAATAAAGCTCCATATCAGCCATGACATTAGCGGATATGATGCAAAAAGTAGAAATAACTATCCTCTATAAATAGTATCACCATGGACAAGAAGCATACTATAGAACCTCCAAGCAGACCAAATTTTTTAAGTAAAATAGAGAAGTTGTATCATTCACTGGCTTGGTAGTAACATGTCCTGTTATTTCTACTGTCGTTATTATACGTATACTATAGTGTATTTGGTAGGCAGCATCCAGCTAAAAGCAATACTTATAATGAAATTCGACGGAAAGCAGCCTTCAACTGCATTCATTGTCGCTTGCAATAACCAAAAAAAAAATCAAAGCTTAGAGAATTCATGCTGTATTGTTAATCTACTGGGCCAAATTCATTTTCTTATAGTATAGTTAATTAATTGTTGACCTTTCCACCGTTTACCGCATTAATGTAAATGTACACTTACACTACGTCGTTATAATGGTGCAGTAGTTATTCGTATTTCAGCAATACAATTAGGAAGATATGATTAAGTCTACGAAAATGTAGTATACGAGTTATACGTAAAAATTGATAGAAAGTGAAATTTCAATTCTTCCTAGTAAAGCTTATATATAAACGCCAAGTAATGTTATCATTAAGCCAATGGAATAACTATAATTGACATTATAAAACCAATCTATCACGATGTAATTTACATCTCTAAAATGATTTTCATTTGTTATATAGTAGGTAGTGTATTTCAATTGATAGAAAAGCAATTAGTTGAATAACATTATCAAGTTAACAATTGATTATTAATATTATCAAGTTGGTTGAAAACACTTGTACTGTCAATTTCATTTTTAATGATGGCGATTTGGTTGAAATTTTTTCCATATTCATTGTATTATCACGATAAGAGTAATTATTGCACTTATAAGCTGTAAAATGGAAATAGAAAAATTACGTTACACCAGAATCAACTCATTATGACCAACCGCCAAAGGCGAATGTAATTATTTAAATAGCAGATGGTTTGATCTATTCTATTTTTCATTGGTAATAACGATATGAATGTTAGCTCTGCAGGAGGTCATTTGAAAGTTTGTCTTATTCATTACTATGACTCATGATAGAACGATGCCAATGTGTAGTATATTGACGAGTTGTTCTAAACTTCTCTAGGGACTGTAGTCAAAGATTGGACAACATATTATAACATCAAAAATTCATGATAGGTCATTTTGCAACACGTGTATCCAAACGTATCCATAGAGTAAAAGAACAAAGTGGAAATATATCATTATTATCAATACAGTATGTTGCAAACTGGACTGGATAGCAAGTTAAAAAGCATAAAAGCATGATGATATTCAATTATTTGCCCGACCGCCCAACATATCGAAAGCAGTACAGTACTAATTTTTCCGTTAAAATTTCATTTTTAGTTTGTATGATATTCTCCGTATACTACATCATAGTTAGTATAGTTGAATATGATAAAACTGGTAGAAGCTATTATTACGATTATTGACATCCATTTTGCGTTGGTGTTGAAGACAGCATTTATTATTATTGACTTTACCGCTGTTTTACAAGCTTGCATTTTCAAAGTCATCATCGTCGACTGATGACTACTCTATCGTATACGGTAGACAGTACTACGTATATCATATCCTTGCGATTAGGTAGTTACGCTGTAGTACATTGCAAATAATTCATTCTTCCCCTAAATAGTTATTGCTATTCCTAGTCTAAAATTGGCCGCGATTTTACCAAGCGTTCGCAAACCTCGAAGACCCCACTATCAATATACTGTACTCTACGCGTACTTTACTAATGACAAAAGATTAAAATGACATATTATTAAGGAAAAGATTATTATTCGAGAGAAAAGTTCAGCGATTTAACTTAGCCGTCTACTCCAAGTATAATTATACAGTACTAGAAGTGATATTGATCAAGTGATCCAAGTAATCATCGACATTAGCTAAGTATAATAATTAATTAAAAGATATAGAAACAATTGTATTTTAGCGTATACTTCATTTATTTGAGAATTATGCAGTATTAACAAGCAATAACTAGAAGCATACAGTTGTTTCATATCAAAAGTTGAAGCACTTGCTAAATTAATGATCAGGAAGGAAAACAGAACTATTTGTGTCTGACTAACAAATTACTGCTAAAACCCATGCAAATCTTTAACACATCAGTAATAATGCGCGTCTATTTGAACAATTACATAAATAGCCTACTGTACTGTATATCAAACTAGCGCGACATGGGAAATGTTAAAATAGCCGATCGTTCGTGGTTGAATATATAAACTTTTACCAACACAAAAAAATGATTTAAGAGAAAGGATATGATTCTCGCCTCTAGTCGAACACAAAATTCTATGCATCGACTACAATAATATGTAGTAATCCTCAATTAGTTATTTCTTCCATAAAATTTGAGCTTAAGAAGAACTTGGAAGTAGGCAAATAAATTGTGGCAAATATAGCGTACACAAAATAAGAAAACTGAAAAATCTCAAACATATCGCATAGTCAAACGATCTTAACTTCCATCATCTTTCGGTCAATTTTTTTATTCAAAGTACTGTATATCCCTGTAGCGATCCAATATTAATGGGGAATGTTAAGTAAGCTTTTCTTACAGTATACGGATGGGAACGTATGTGTTTACGAAGTTGAAAGTTGATTTAGTTGCAATCTGATACTTTAATCGGCGTAAAAACTTACTCTTCATCTTCTCTTCAAAAAAATAACGAGATTGATGATCTCTATTCTATTGCCTTATTGTTCATCATCAGTCTGACCTCCATATATAATCATGAATTTCCCATGTTGTGAAATAGACGATGCTAACGTCTGCAATTGCCGATGAATGTGCAGAGGTACACCAAAAATGGGAGCTTGGAAAGAAATTTTAATTAAAAGGTCGTCCATTTGTTCTACGGTTTATCTAAGCAAAACTAATACAGGAAAATTAGCGAGTCGAAGCGAGCAACGATTGCATGACTGTTTATACTTTTGGGTTGCAAATGACATCGCTGTATCAAGTTTATAGACTTAAGGAAATGCAGTTGTAGAAGAGAAAAGATACAAAAGCCTGTTTTGTAAAGCATCATAAGTACAGTAAAAGCAAGTACCTTGCAGTCATATCTATGAGTATGTTCTAGTATAATTTCCACCTAGCTTAGATAGTTAATCATCCCTTCTTGATTAAAAATACGAATCTATAGTTTATAGCCTTGTATCATAGCAATTGGATTAGATTAATCCAAATTCTTTTAAATAATGAAATATGCCAACGGGAAACACTACGTGAAAAGTGAGTTGGATCCTGTGGCACGGCCTTTTCATGACTGTGCTATCGGTCGGCACAACGGATAGCCGTACGCATAACGTTGATTAAGATGTTAACATTGTTGTAGTCCCATCATTAAACTATGTCGTTCATTCTCAAATAGAAGAGTTGGGACAGTGAATTCTTTTCTCAACTTCAAATACGAGTCGAAACTGTTGATGATTCAAGTCCTGATAGCAACTAGGTGGGTTAAAGTTTTCTACATACGCGTTCATCATTCTACCGTAAGCTTGTAAACTCTATTCTACTCCACAAAGTTTACTGGATATCCTACAAAAAAAAATGGAAGCGATTGTGCGATAAAAAAGAAAGGGTAACGGGCTAAGAGTTGAAACATTGAATCAGAGAGATTGGGAACATGCTTTAAAATAGAGCAACAAGAAGCAGGCGTCTACTCAAAAGTACAGCCATTTGTATACGATCCGTATCAAAATAAATGCACATGTTAAGCATCAATTAAGCCAATTTTTCAAGTCATTTGTCGACAATCAAGGGTAAGTGTTTATTCTTATTTTATTTTTGTTGATGAGAAGAACATCTAGTTGTAATGTTAACATGATGGTAAGTTATGATATCATTATCGCAAAACATCAAGTCATGAAAAAAAAAATGTTGTGACCAAAATCAAACTTGCAGCCCTGATTCATCGATAGGCTAGCGTCGATCATGCTTGATCAATTATTATCGCTGGATATCGCTGCTGCCAATGATCAACTCATCAATCCTTCGACCGTGGAAGCCTACCGACTCCAAGGCCATCGCTATATAGCGCTGTCTAGCCTAACGTAGAAATCAAGGCTACAAGTATTCTCAAGGCAAGAATATTTGGTATGAAAAAATTCGATTGCAAGCAAGCTATTCCATCTTCCCGATGGCATCCCTTGCCCCGCACTGGTCCAGTACCAGTGTACCATGGTGACTAGGAGAGGGGTTAGCGCGTTAACGGAACCCTCTCTCGACGATACCATGGTGGGCTAAAATCAATCGCCCAGTATGGGAGTACGGTCAGCACATCAAAGTGCATGATGCCGCCGCACTAATCCAACATGGACATGGATGATGGCTAATCAGAAAGTAAAATTAATTCTCTTCACTTACTTACCGATAGAGGATGACACTTGCGATTTAGATGTTTCCTATAACGCCAATTTCTTTTCAACTACTAGCACCACGCAAAATAAAAATAGGGAGAAAATTCAAAACCGATCATGGATGAACACGTCTCTACGCCTTGCTATTACTATAGGATCGGCGGTTACTGCAACTGTCCGGTCTAACTGCAAGTCGTTTATTGGATGATTTTTGTCATACAAAACTTGTTCTTCCCATTTCCAGTCAGCGCAGTCTGTTCCTAGTACCGCTTGTAGAGTGTACAGTGTACAGTACAAACCTCATTGTTCCAGTCACGTATTGTACACTGTACAGTAGAGTACAGTACAGTACCGTACAGTACAGACCATAGTCACTGTACTGTAGTGTAGTGTACTGTATGACTCACGACTTGCTGTGTTGTACTGCGTACTGTACAGTGTATGTACACTATGACTCAGTATGACTCATTCCTACAGTATGTACTGTACAGTGTGCGTGGACACTATGACTCAGTATGACTCATTCCTACAGTATATACTGTACAGTAGAATGTTCCATTTGGAGTGTACTGTACTGTACTGTACAGTACTGTATGTACTGTACTGTACGTACTGTAGAATGTTCCATTTAGAGTGTACTATACACTGTACACTGTACACTGTACACTGTGTAATATATTCTGTTGTATGCGCTCATTTACATAGCGATCTCTGAGCCTGTTGACAGGTAAATAGTATAGCGTAAACAGGTTAGATCTAGAAAAGTGACACCTCGACTGATTCGGACTGCGCAGTTCTACTGTATACGTTACACAACTTGCTCCATACAGTGCTTGTACTTTTCAATCGGTGAACTAAATCAAGAAAGAAAGAAAAACTGGACTAAAATAGTGACAAGTTCACATCTGTAGTCCATGTCAGAAGTATGGTACAGTATTAACAGCACCACACCCATCCGCAAACACAAGCCATCAGTCTTCTGCTTTTACATTAACAACCAAGCCTGTAGATTAGTTCAAGAATGGATTCTTGTCACTACGAATACGTGCCGTATTGAACTACAGGATGTTGATAATAACGTTGTACATTATGTTACCATTTATCGGTTCTATTACCGAATGTCTGCTTGCATCGTGTGTACTATACGGTATAATACAAGTCGATGCAACCAATTAATAAACCGGTCTTCTACAGTAATCTACAAAGCCCTCCGATACCAGCTACTATAGTAATTTTCCAAATTGACTATAGTAGTCTAATATTGTTCTTTATGCGCTACCTGCAATCATTTTGCCACCACCATTTCATGGGCTTGGCGAGCCCTATGACACTATGTTAGCGAACGTTTGCGAAACAGTAAGTAGATTGCAAACGTCCCGCTAACATACAGTACAGTATGTAAGATGATTTCTTGAAATACACAATATTTGATATTAAAGACGATGAGAGGATGAAGAGTGGATTTATTTGTAGATTGAGAATCAACGCACATAGGTAGAACGTTAAAGAGACACGCAGGAGGAGGCTACTACCTGACATAACAGAATATCAATCTATCTATGCTATACTGTATAATTTACACGTAGGCAGCTAGCATGTGTACACTGACAAGCGTACATCTGTACCGTGGTTATATTGATAACATCCACAGTATTTATTTATTATATTCCATCTTATATAACAACAGACAGTAGATACCGGTTGAAAACTGCTCGAATGCTCAGCCATAGTGTAGCCCTTAATTAGGTCTTTCAATTTTGAAGGTATTTACTTTAAATTTGGCTAAATTTTTACCATGACAGATCTCTACAACCTTGAGCCATTGGCACTTGATATTTTTTTCGATAATCTTGACTGCATTATGGAGTTATTTTATTTCTTTGAAATTTCGAACCATCCGTCACTGGTACGTGTACGCTCCGTTCAGTCAGTATACAAGTCAAGCTGAAACAGTGGTTTAATATTTACTGCATAGATGTAGTATGTGAATTACAACATCTAGCACTGTTACTTTGCAGCCAATAGGCTCATAACTCGCGCTGCAGCAGTAGTTATTGTGTATTCTATAATCATGAATCAATTAATGAATCAATTCCACTCAAACGGTCCTGTCTAGTAAAGTATTTACCCTTACAGTATATATTGACCATTGGCCAAGGACTACCAGATAAAACTATACCGCGAGAATATCTAACTAGTCCATATATGTATGTATACCATCCTTTGACTACAACTCACTATAAATCACCATAGATGGAGCGTCAGTAAGGAGTGCATCGCACTAGCAGATATGTAGTGGGATTAACATACAAGAATGCGCCGCTGCAATTACGTAATGACAAACAAGCTCAAAACAAATACTCAGCAATTACTCGCCAGCTATCGATTCAAATCCTCTATAGGAAACAATCCTATGTTGTCAAAATTCAATAATCCAAATGCGATATCACCCATGCAAGACGCAGTATTATGAATTACTTTATCATATCTCCGTATTTTATTTCATATTACAGTAAATATTAACAACACAAGCTATTGATGGTAGCAAGACTGCAAGAGTATGGTTTAATTACAAGCGGATATTGCATGACAGCGTAACGTTATCGCGTACGCATCAAAGTAAACATATCATGAAGCTACTATTAGTGACTTTTGCTTTTCTAACAGTAAATTACAATACTAATAATTGTCTGTACGTAGGTTTAGAGTTATTTAGACTTAATCGAGTGAGATTGATCTTATAAATGGAGACAAATGATAGAAAATAGTACATACAGATTATAGCACCATTACGTTAAAATAGTGCCCAATGAAAAATCAATGGGATAAGCTTACAGCATCACAATTCATAGCCAGATGTCTCTCAAATGAAGATTTTTTTACTTAGTGTTATCAAGAATGATTGTAAGCGCTATAGTGATAGGTATGAGATCCTTTTAAGTTTCTGCAACTGGTGTCTCTACCGCCAGGGTCGGTGGTGCCTCAGATTCCCCAGCTACTACGTCTGGTACCACCGAACCTTCTTGATTTTCGCTGATATTGGTATTGTCATCATTCGTCTCATTATTAACAGTTTCTTCATCTTTAGCCTCTACTGGCTGATTATTCTCTCCATTACCTGCTATCACAGCAGATTCAGGGCGAGAATTATTGGTACTATCAAGCTTCAATATATCTTCAACTTCGTCATCGTTAATTACATTCCTAGCTTTAACTTTGCCGCTTCTCCATGTAGGGACAACAATTTTAACGGGTTCATCGTCTTCATTTATTCCACCTTGCGACTGCAATAGTTAAAGTTGAGTAAGCAATTGCCGTAATATTTATTCCTGGTCTCAATTCCATCAATACTCGCACATAGTATAAAGCATAAATACTAGTACAGCCATAAACTTACTATTTCTACAAGCTCATAATTTCCATGTTGCTCACAACCAATATCAAAAATATATTTTCCTTTTCCTTCAGGCTATTCAATAAGTATAAAAAAAATTACCTTTTAATCGCTAATAGACTGCAATATCTTCTTAATTTCCAATAAACTACATTCTTTATAAGCCATCGCAATAGAATAAATCACTACAAATATATATCTACCTGATCACTTGTGAAGTTGCCTTGATAAGAATGATTTGCATGAATTAACTCACCAAATCCTTGTCTCTTACCATTCTCCCAACTTCCTTTATACTGCGAAGAATTAAAAAAATGGCCATACGTCAAATTATACGATGACATTACAGCAGTGAAGAGAATATCATTCTATATGATAACAACTTTATCAACTCCACGTTATTACGAGTGTGCATAGCACATATACGGTAATGCCTAACTTACTTTGGTTCCAGTATCAGCATATGTATAAACACCTTGCCCATGTCTCTGATGATTGAGCCAATTTCCTTCGTAGAGATCATTGTTAGCGTAAAAATAAGTACCACTACCGTGCCTTTGATCATTTACCCAGTTTCCTATGTGTATAAATGACAAGTTTTGTAACCGATTTAATAAGGTTAGTATTTCATTTCTACGCAGATCATCACCCTTATAAAGTAAAGCAATCTAATTGCAGAATATGGAATAATTCTTAATTTAATATGTCAATACCTTCATATCTAGAACCATCTGGATACCAAAAAATTCCCTGGCCATGCTTTTTACCCTGATAATATTCTCCTACATACCTAGCTCCAGACTTAAAACGATAGGTACCCTAATAGGAATATTTTGTAAGATTATTATAGATTTACTTACTTCAAATGATCAGCACATACTGTGAATAGATGGTTGCCTACACTTTACAAGCATAATAATCAATTTTCTTACTTGTCCAAATCTTTTGCCGTGTTCATAATAGCCTTCATAAGTGTCACCGTTTGGTAAAATCGCTTTTCCAAATCCATGACGTTCTCCATCGTCATTCCTTTCTCCGTCATATTCCTATGCAACATAAAATGATCAACATTTTAATACCTGCTTTTGAGTTATTCTCTATATTAACTTTTCATCAGTTTTTAATTATCATTCTTTACATTAAGCTATGCAAAAATATGTAGTCATCAAGATAATGAATCCGATATCATTGCGTTATACTGTTATCGCACATTGAAGTCTTTATGATAACATGTTGAGCTTTATCAAAAAAATGAACGATTGTACGGTAACATTGGCGTCTCGTATTTATCGATTGTTAAAAATGAACTCTGATTGCATTAGCCGTTATTACGGATGTAAGATACTAATTAAACTGATTAGTAGAACTGTAATGAGTATACGTATCATCATTCAGACTAAAGGTATTAACAAATTCAAACTGCATCGCATAGCTTTGATGAAATTAGCACGAAAGATGGATTTCTTACCCCCAAATTTGGGCCTTGATCTTCCTCTTCATATTCTTCGGATATGTCAGACATGGTTTACAGATATATAATTGTATATTAATTAAAAGAAATAAGTGTCTACGTTACGATGGGGGCAATGTAACCGTTAATCAGGAATTTGCTGCAGCTTAAGCGTTACTGTAGTTAAAATATTCTTGAGAAATGACTAGAATTTTAAAGTCAGCTTATCGGTAGTCGTACACAGTAGTATACAAACGAAATGGTTGTCATGGCGATCATGCATTGAAACATTGTGCATGCGTACTATACTTCAATACACAGTTCCGTAAAAAGTCACTACCGAGAAGAATGTGTACTGTACAGTGTACAGTGTACAGTACATACTGTACAATACACTGTATCACCAAGGTTGCAGCTCGGAGACTAACATCGTCATGGACGAAACCCGAATAATTTACTGCAGACAATTTACCGTATTAAATTAAATTAATTTGACGCTGTATAGGATTGAATGCTGTAAAGTATTTAATCTACCCTGGTAATATCGAAACAGATACTTTACTGCATTCAATTAATTTTACAGTGTCAAGGATTGAACGCTGCAAAGTATTCAATTCATCCTCACAATATCAAATCTATATTGATACTGTTTCTATCCTAGACTACATTACTACATTGTACAGCGGTCAATTGTCCTAGACCCCCAATACTTGTAAGTATTTAGTACAATAGTCCATGATAGAGCACAGACACTGTACCCTACGCGAGTTGTACTGAAAGATAAATCTGATTTGCCTTTTTTTAAATTGGTGATTCCGTTCCTATATTTCGCACCTTTTTTCGTCGATTTTTCTTTTCCGCCAGTCAGTTAGTTATAGCTGTTTAAGTACAATAACAAAGACAGCAGTACAGACAGTACTGAATTTCTGGTTGCAGTAAGATCTTGAACAGTTACGTTAGTATCTATCTGTATATATATATATATATATATAATATTTCCTCAAATTGTGCAGCTTTACTACAATTTATATTGGCGAATAGCACCTTAAAAAAAGAAAGAAAAGTGGCCTATAGCCGTACAGTACTGTACTGTAGTACTACAGGCTACGGCACTGTAACGTAATTGACCGCGCACCACTCTAACTAATAATAACGAGACGCTCAAAAAGTACAATAATAAAGACAGCAGTACAGATAGTACTGAATTTCTGATTGTAGTAAGATCTGGAACAGTTACGTTAGTATCTATCTGTATATATATATATATATATATATAATTTTCCTCAAATTGTGCAGCTTTACTGCAATTTATATTGGCGAATAGCACCTTCAAGAAAGAAAAGTGGCTCATACCTGTACACAGTGTACAGTACTGTAGTACTACAGGCTACGGCACTGTAACGTAATTGACCGCGCACCACTCTAACTAATAATAACGAGACGCTCAAAAAGTACAATAATAAAGACAGCAGTACAGACAGTACTGAATTTCTGATTACAGTAAGATCTGGAACAGTTACGTTAGTATCTATCTGTATATATATATATATATAATTTTCGGCAAATTGTGCAGCTTTACTACAATTTATATTGGCGAATAGCACCTTCAAGAAAGAAAAGTGGCTCATACCTGTACAGTACACAGTGTACAGTACTGTAGTACTACAGGCTACAGCACTGTAACGTTTAATTGACCGCGCACCACTCTAACTAGTAATAATGAGACGCTCAACTATGGGGTATTCAAGCATTCATCTACATTTGCAAGTCCTCGTTTCCTTTTATCCTAGTCTAGTCTGTTGTTTGGTTGCTAATACATGACTGAGTAGCTTAGTAGTGGACAGTATGAGAATTGAATACGACAGTCATTGAAACTTGGAAATTGGTCTATTTCCACTGCGACTGCGCAACCTCTGCTACTGCCACTGGCTGGCTGTCTTTTTTTTCTCCATACTGTAGCGTACGCAACCAAAAGTTTTCCCCCTATACATTAGCTACCCTCTACGCTCATGATTACGAGCCTAATGTCTCTTGTTATGTAGCTTGATGATGGCAATTAAGCAACCTAATGGCGTTCAGGTAAAATTTCTCGATAATTTTAGCGTCAATAGTATCGTATTACACTATTTT